TGCCAAGTGCTACAAGCCCTTCTTTAATGGCCTCTTAGAACAGTCTAGCTTTTTACGCGCTAGCTTTCAAGATTTTAGATGACTACTAGAGGAAGCTAGGAAACACTTCAAACTCAGAACATAATGGTTGTAACAGAAGTAAAGACTATTTAACACTTAGATACATACATCTCCACCCCATTTAATCTTTTTTGCATGATCTAAACAGAACTTTATTATTGAATAATACATCTCATCCCATCAGTGTCATAAATTCTTTTGTTTTAGAGTTAGCATTTAGTCAAAGAACACATAAGACATAAAATTTAAGTATACATTCAGGGAAACAGTTGTTTTATATATTTTTAATGTTTGATTTCTGAATACCCTAAAGTGGACAATTCTTGGATATGTAGTAATACTAAGCTTCTGGGAATAGATGTTCAATCTACACTTTCTGGTTGTTGAAAGAATGATGGAATTAATGAGCAAATAAAATAGCTGATTGTTAACCTCTATAACATTCTGTCTCTTAGGTTATCCAGTTTGACCTTAAAAAATTTCCCTAGAGTTTGGTTCTTTAACCCAACCCAGGTCTCATTTAAATGATTTGTGGTAATAGTGCCCTGCCAATTATCTTTAACAAATTTTCTTGTAAATCTTCATTGTCTTGATCATAAATAATGATTAAGCTTCCATTTGCAGATGGTGGTATAATGGGAAATGGGGAAATGTGCAAGAAAAAAGAAAACTAAGTCTCTGCCCTTTTAATTAGCTATGCCTAAATATCATATTTCGCATTGAAAATTAGAAATCAGTATGAGTAGCTCCAAGTAAAAAGGCTTGAGAGAGAAAAAGAGATTCTTCTGATAAGTCGATTTTTTTTTTTATCCCTGAATAGGCAAAACATTCAAATACGCCAGTTCCCAGTTTCTGAGATAATATGACCACATAAGCCAAGAGAGAGACAAGCAGCTGAGAGACGCTAAAGAATTATACAAACACATGTAGGACAAGAGGTAATTGCCTTAAGGAAATTTAGGGTGGCACCATCCACATCATGATTATGAAAAAACAGCCTTTAACTATAACCATATAGGTAAGGTATTATATCTATAATAGGTGTTACTAATTTTGCGAGACCACTTTCCTATGTGTATGTGAGCGCGCGCGCGCGNGTGTGTGTGTGTGTGTGTGTGTGTGTGTGTGGAAGTGGTTTTGGATGGGGGCTGAAGAAGTACTAGTAAGTCATCATTATACTAAAGCATGCAGATTTGAGCCACATAAAGTCATTATTGTGACTCAAGGATGAAAAGTCTGTAGCAGATTTAGTTCTTGGGACCACAAAATGCTGACTTCGTTATACAAGATTGTTACCAGGAACTTTGGACTTTGAAATCCATCACTGAGGCCATTGCAGATGCACCTTCACTGTCCTGAGGGCAGTTTGTATGAACAGTACCTCATAAATATGCATGCCTTTCAGATTTGCTCTTTCTAGAATAAAAGCTATGTATTATGGAAAACATAAAAGGCTTTGAACAGTGCAGGGAGCAGTTCATCCAATCTGTTTTCTACTAAATGTATGTCTCAGACTAATGTTTAGAACAACGGGACAAGTAACAACTAGTCAGAACTCAGCCATGTCCTCATGAGCTCTGGTCACACACAGTGTTTATTTTACCCAGCTGTCCAAGCCAGAACAAAACTGTGGATAGCTGTTGTGCATCACTATTCCACCGAGTAATTCAATGTGACCTACCTACCCGTGGTTAGTGACATTTTAAATGTCTAGGGCTACAACAAGGGCAGAAAATTTGAATCAAACTATATAAGATATCAAAACAGGACGCTTGGAAAGAGTTCTCTCTGCCTCGTTATGATTTTATCAGAGTTTTTTTTTGTAGTCTGTGGATAGGAATGTAGAGTGCAGGATTAGAAAAAGAATAGGGAAGAGATTGGCACCACCAAAGTTTTACATGATTACACTTACGTTTTGGAAAACTACCTCTGGAGGCTAGGCAGAGGAAGAATTGACCAGAGGTGGGGAAAAAGCTTTGGAGGTCATTCTAGCGGGATGGCTGAGAGAGAATTAAAGGCTGAACTGTAGCAATGAAAATGGGAATCAAGAGGAATAACATGAAGACCCGTATGTAGGAGCTCATTAATGGGTTTTGAGGCCTCATTTTGAGCTTTTGCTGCTGTCCTGAGTGCATGCTTAGTACCTCATGAGTAACTGGCCCTTGCCTGGACCACCCACTTGATAAGGTTGCCTAAAGCACTGGAGACCACTGTGAGCTGTGTCTGCTGGTAAATTGCCACTGTAGAACTTTCCCTACAGAGAGGCTAGTAGAGCATTGGAAAACAAGCTAGTTAAGGTCCCTCCCAGCCCCTCCTTTAGGAGGAAGGCATTTCCTGGGAGGAAATAGCCCAGCTAGGCTGGGAACTTCTCAGAGATAGCTATGCAGCCACCGTTTTATATATCCTCTTAGCCCAGTGCTGAGCACACAGTAACTTTCAATAATAAAAAGTAAACATTTTTAAAAATATTTTTAAAATTACCTACACTTTCCACTCAGTCTACATTATGACTTTATTTAAACTGTATTCCTAGTTATAACAGTCTATCTTAAGAAGTAACTAAATAAACTGTAGGACATGGAAACATAAACCACACTAATCAAAAACAAGCCTTGACGGAGCAAAATGTATATACAAGTTAGATGAGCCATAGGATTGAAAAACAGTGTACTACAGAATGGGTAAACTGAAAGCACCATGGATTAATACTAAGCTCTGTGAGGGGCACAGAACTATGCAAGGTTACCTGCTGCAACCTCAAGAGCCTAGAACAGTGCTCAGTACATAGAAGACACTCAATGGATCAACAAGCTACCCTAGTTAAAATAATAATAATAATAATAATAATATAAAGAGAGAAATGGAATTAACTTTTTCTGCTATTAGAGGTTGACTTGAGTCTTTTGACACTTTGTTCCAATTCTAGAACTAAAGGAAACATCTCTCATACAGCTGTAAGTAATTTTTTTTTATGCAGACCACTGCCAAATAGTGATATTTTAATCCCATCAGGAATAGAGAATAGAATGCAAATTATTCTTTCTCTCATGACCTAAGCCCTTATTCCCTCGCCTTGTTCTTCTGCAATGCTAGCGGAGCTTGAGACAGAAAATCATGTGTAGATGCCTGACATTTTGTTCTCTCCAGGGAAATAAACTTACATAGCTCATTTAATGTTCCTTGGTGAGCTATTAATGATTGGCCGTTTCGCAGAGATGTTTTTCTGCAGCTCTCCAGATATTTCTCCTCGGTAACATGATGAAAAATAAAATATTAAAATAAAAATAACACATTTGAGTAATGAAGAATTATCAAGTAGTATATTCCTGGAACAACCCAATATTATCTATGGCAATATACTTTTGCAGAAATTCATTCAGTTCATTGTGTAGCACATCCTCAAGTATTTCAGTTTTTCTTAAGCTAGCCCAGATGAGGTCTATTTTACTATTGAAGACTTGCATGAAAGTATTTCTTTATTTAACACATACTTGTTAAATATCTACTAAGTGCCAAATTTTCAGCTACATCCTGGGGATAGCGTGGTGACTAAGACACAATCCTTACAGTCAGAGAGCTCATAGTTTCCTACAATTCTCTACAGATGTCGCACATTGTGATTTGGGACTAAACAAAAATGTGAAGGGAAAGAAACCATAACATCTTTTGAAGTGTTATTTTGTGCCAGGCACGTTTAGAGGGGTATCACAAACCACCGTCCTTTCTAAATAGCTTTCACCCCAACCCTGCTTGCTTTTTTTCCATCCTGTTTTTTTTTCTTCATCTACTAACCCTCACTTGGTATTGTTCTCTGCTCTGTTCAGCTTTGAGAAGTAGCTGGCATATAGTTTTTTTGTAGTCATTTCATGAATGAACCTTAGAGATAGGAAGTCTTGTTTTAATGAGACCAAGATTGATGACTTAAATGATTTGCTCATGATTGTGCAACTCTTAAGCCACAATTCATAGGTTTAAACCTTGGAAAGAAGGCAAAGCCCATGTTCTTTCTACCATCACTCCTCTAAAGGCATATTTCTTTACAAAGGTATGACTCTCTTCTTTTGTTAAACACCATTACATGAAAGACACTTGGAGTTACAGAGATCTTGTCTTCAAGAGCCTGACAGTCTAGCTACTAAGAAAAAAACACACAAAACTATCTGGAGCTCCAGCTGAAAAGTGTGAGGCAGTGTCTGGGGATGGAAGAAACCTCAGAAACAGTGAACAGGAGGAGGGTGAGCTGGGCCCCATCTGTGACCGCTGAGCACTTCCACCTGGCTGGGGTCTGTTGTCCCTGAAATATGAATTAAATAAAAGAAGTAAACTCCTTCACAGTAGACAGATTTCCTAGAAGTAAGAAAATAGCCCTTTCTCTGAGTCCCTGTTCCCATTTAGAACCAGATAATAGTAGATTCTCCCCGCTTTTTGCAGAGGGAAGATGATGGAAGGTTAGAAAGGCTCATTTTGAAGGGAGTTTGGCGAGTTTTGTGGTCTTCCTAAGAAATGAAGAGGTGGGGAAAAACAATTTCTAACAGCTGAGGTGGTTTTGCCTAGAGAGAGAAAAAGTATGGGAGCGGAGGGTGGGGTGAGGAGTTAACTCCAACATCAGAAGTTTGTTGAATGTCCTTACATTTATTTGAATGTCCTTAAGCTTTTGAAGCGTCCCTGCACCTGAAGTACTGTGGGCTCTTCCTGGCGGAGAGGATTTAGATTTATTCTCTTGGGTACCAAACAGTGGAACCAAAGGGTGAACGCCTGATAGAAACACGCTTTTACTCAACACAAGGAAATGCCTTTAAAACGTGCTGCAGGGAGTTGTCTCAAGAGATGGTGATTCTCTGCGGCCCAGCGCTAAGCAGAGCAGGCCGCTCCCAGGGGTCCGCTTGCAGAGGGAATCAGCACTTAAGAGTCGTGACGCACTGGTCGGAGGTCGCCAACCGGGGGCGGGGACCAAGAGCCGAGTTTGTGTGCGTCAGACACTCCAGCTGGGCGTCTGGGATCCCCTGGGAGCGCCGCGGGGCCTCGCAGGGGTGCCAGAAGCCCGCGCTCCGGTTTGACCAGCGCCTGCCCGCGAGGGAACAGAGCGCAACATGCTCGCAGCCGCCGAGAGCCTCCTACGTCTCCGCCCGGGGCGCATCCTCTGCGCCCCGAGGGCTCCTCGAGAGGCCGCGCAGCTGCCCATCGCGCCTTTCCGGACCCTCCGTTACTCCAGCGGTGGGGCTCCCAGCGGCTCTGGGCCCCAGGGTTCGGGTGAGTCGGGACTGGGAGTAGCCTAGGAGGTGGGGGGCTGCGGCAGGATGGGCGAGGAGCTGGGGTTGGGGCGTCGAGGCAAAGCGCGCGCGTACACGCTATGCCGTGGTTCTGTGGGCTTCGCCGTCCATCCCTGTCGCTTTCGCAGCAGGGAAGGTGCACAGGGTCCCCGCCGAGCACAAGCCCTCCCAATTCGACAAGAAAATCCTGCTGTGGACTGGCCGTTTCAAAGCGATGGAGGACATCCCGCCTCGGATCCCGTAAGTGTATTCTATGCCTCCCTGGGGAGGGTCCAGCCCGTGCCTCGAGGGGTGCGAGGTCCATCCACTCTCCGACCTGGGCGCACCCTGGAGCGAAGGCGGCCGCAGTGCCACAAAATAGTCACGCATAACACCTACCACCTTGAGGAATTTACCTATGCTCCCCTAGTGCAGTTACTGTCAAGTTCCTTGATTAAACTGTGGGCAGCTAAGCTTACAGGGAGACTGTCGAAGTGGGGTGAAAACCGAAAAGTTGAGTGGACACTTCCACCATCACCCAGATACCCGCCCCCAATGAGCTCCTAGCACCCTGGGTGGCTGCGGGGCCGCCAGGCGTCGGGGGTGTCTCCCTGCCCCACCCAAGGAAGCATCATGGCCTGTGGGGTAGCTAGAGAGTCCCTGGGAAGAAGCCGCAACCGCACGACCTCCTTTTCTGGGGCGAGAGCCGCCTAGCGCACGTGGCTCTACAGCCTTCTGAGCACCGGTTTAGTCTGGCTAGAACCCTCGGGGCATCAGCATTACTGGCCCCTTCACCATCCCAAACTCAAGATGGAGATTCGATAAATGATAAAACAAGCTGACAGCTTACCTCCAGGGTAAACGTAGCTTGTTTAAAAAGAAAGGAAGGGAGGAAGGGAGGGAGGGAGG